TCAAAACCTAATATTGATATTAAATAAATCACCAAATCTTTGCTAGAGTCTGTAATGCATAACTAGAAATAATTCTCTGAAAATGTGTGGATGAATGTGAATACTCATAACAGTGTGCTGTGAGCGCTGCTATAAGCACTCCTCTTTTGATATTTCAGTATCCAGCAGTGTGTAATTATATAATGTCAGCCTGTTATGTTTGGAAATAATACCCCCACAGGGGTTGGCTTATATCACAAGATCTTTGAATATGAACGTAGTTACAAGAATTTTCCTTTTGATTATACCTGTGCTGAGGCAGTATATTGCTATAGGTTGTTGTAATAACATTGCAAATTCTATGGCCCTTTCATCCAGGAATTTGGGGACATGTTACTAAAAACAGGAGAGCCAAAATCCGACAACTCAAAACACACAAAACTGTGATTCTTTCTTTACTTGTTGTGGAACATATTAAGGATAAAAACTTTTTGTTGTTGTTTTTCTTTCTCAAAAAAATTTTTTTTTGGTAACACAGAGGATTATGTTAATATGAATATAATGACAATTACTTGAAGCATACAATTACATAATGAAGTAGAGTATATATAATAAGAAAAATGCATATCTAGAACAAAGAAGGGCAGTAAGGTTGCTTTGAATTGTAGTAAAAACACATTGCATTTTAAACGTGACAAAGGTGTACTGCTTTCTTGATTGCTTTCTCAGTATATAACTAGGCTTATTTTTGGAGAAGAGTAAGCTATGTCTGAAGGCTAGGTGAACTCACCATGAGCAGATGAATCTACAACTAGTTTGTCAACATCCCCCCTCTGAGCAAAGATAGCACCTTTTCAAGGCAAGGGACAGACAGAGGAAAGAGTTTTATAAATACAGCAGAGAAAGAATGTGATCTAGCCAGTCAGGGTACAAATCTACTGCATAGCTTGGATCAGTGTATTTATTGATTATAATGAAAATTATGATGCTAGAGTATTATAATTATTTTAAGGAAAAAACACAATGCTATTTAATATCAACATTGATGCATCATAACTTGAAACTGATTATGTAATTGTCAACCTAAAACATTCTTGTAGCCCTGTAGGCTAAGGGCTCGCCTTTGCATAATGTTTTGTTTTAATAATACATCCAAATAGAAGAAAATTCAGAGTACTCCAGGAGCATAACTTCTTATCCATCCCATGAATTTTTGTCAAGACCTAGTGGGGCCCAGGTATCAGAATAAGGGCTGGAGTGCATGCTGTGGAGTTAGCCAGGCAATCCTGTGCTTCTCCTCTGGACAGTGTGGAAAACACGCTGGAAAACCAAGTCCTGTACTTGGAAGCAGAAAGGCTGGACACATGAGCTCACAGAACAGGATGGACGGAGGGGGCTGCTGTGCAAAATAAACTGAAGGAGCAGTAGGAAGTGGGGTTGGCTAGGCAAAGGGAGCCTTCCCAAGAGGACCACCGGCATATTCAAGAATCCAGAGCTGGGAAGTAGAATGCCACATTCAATGTGTGTGCTGTTGGGGTGGGGTTCTTTTGCAGCAGTGAGCATAGGAGCAACGGAACTACACTAGTTTGGGGATCATTGTTCCTGGCACACAGTAGGTACCCGGGATTAATCACTGGATAATGAGCTCAGAAGCGACACTGATTTGGGGGATCATTGTTCCTG